TGTATAAAAGATTTTAATTAAATTTCAATAAAGACAGAGACATGGTCTCACCATTAATATTTAAAAAAAAAAAAAAACAATTAAGAATACTATTAATAGCTTGTTTTAGTTTTGAGGAAAGTGTTTTACATCTTTTTTTAGTTGCTGTTAAAGTAGAAGAGAGTTTTTGATTTGTTGAGTATTGTAAAGTTGTTTCCAGATTTTTTAGATATATTGAATCCATAGGTTGAATTGAGAATGTTGAAAAGAGGTGAGTAGTTAAAGGTTGCAATGAGATCTTAAGTTGATATTTTAGATTCTGGAATTGATTAAATTGGTGTTCAGATTGTCAATGCTGTTTTTGATAATTTTAATTATATGGCTGAGTTCTTTAAATATTAAGTAAAGTAAAGTACAATAAGATGTATATTTGTGGTTGTAGTTATATTTTTAAGTTTTTATTTTTGATATAGTGTATATTGCTGTATTAATAATTGTCACAAATTAAAATAAAATCTGATCCAAATGAAATTTTTCTATTTTTTAAGGAAAATTTAAAATTTTTTAAGAGATATTTTTTGGAGTTCTTTTTAGTATTAGAGTAGGATTTAGGGTTAGGTTTATTAATAAATAAGTATATGTAGGTTTTATAAGCTCTAAGGGTGGGCATAAGAGGTCACCAGTTTCATTTTGATTAGATTTCATTTTAATCTGTAACAATAATTAAGTGTTCAATTTTATATTAAGTAATTTTAATACTTCATTAGTATAAAAAAGTTAAAGACAATTGCTTCACTAGGATGTGTTTGGCAATTATAAATATAAGGTTTGAGATAATTGTATATTATGATAGCAGTACCTTCTACTGAGCTATCTAAATTAGCCCAAAAGTAGGTAAATAAGTTGTTATTACAGAAATGAAGATTAGTACTATTAGCAATTTTTATTTTAGTGATACAAGCAAGATAAATATTATTATAGAGACAGTAGTTTTGCTATGCTTCTCATTTGATTATATGATTAAAACCTCTAATATTGTATATAACAATTATTAGATCTAGATCATGGTAGAACATTTTTTATTTAATATACAAAATTGATTAGCTTAATAAAAATTTAATAAAATTGAAGATTTTTATAAATAGCTAAAATTTTAATTTGATTTAAAGATTTAAAATCAAATAATTAAATCAAATTTAAATCTAAATTTTTTAAATCAAATCAAATTCAAATTTAGATTTTTAATTTAAATCAAATTTAAATAAGTCTAATATTTGATTTGATTTGATTTTGAGAAACTCTATTGTATTAACAAATACTTCACAAAGACCTAATGTAGATGATTAGAAAACAAGAATTTGATATTAGAAAGATAACTTTTTAACAAGATAAAGCATCTTGTTATATGACAATCTTACAAAATGTTTGTTTAAAAGAAATAAGGTTAAATTCTTCAATTGGCCTCCAATCCCCCAATTTGAACCTGATTGAAAACCTGTAAGATGAAATCAACTGTCAGTTGAGAAATCTTCCTGAACAAATTTCAAGTGAGACAAATCTTTGGCAAAAAATTCAAAAGGTCTAACAGGTGATTGATGTTGAACCTATAAAAGGTTAGTTTATTCAATGCCAGACCAAATTTGTGCTGTAATTAGGATCAGGGCAGGTATACTTGATGGTGAAGGTGGAGAATTTTTAAATAAAAAAAATTTTATTTTTTTTATATCAAAAAAATTTTTTTGATTTATACAATCATGTTGCTGCAAAAATAAGCAAAAGTAATGCAACATGGCATTTGAAATAAAGCTCATGTCTATAAAAAATTTTGTTTATTAAAATTTTTTGGTTTTTTTATTGATGAAAACATTTGTATTAGTGAATAAAATAAAAAAAAAAACTACTCAATATGCCCAAAATTGTGTGAGGTAGTATGATCTAAGTAAAATTTTTTTTTGTTGTACTACTTATGATTGCCAGTGTATATATACTATATTTATATACACTAATACTTTTTTTAGAAGGCGAAATTGGGCACCATCAAAGTGGAATTCATTTGCAACAACTGGAAAGCCTTCAATAAATGAAGGATCATATGTGTGTGAGTTTTTAGCACCATTAATCAATACTATAGTCAGTGATTTACCATTAGATATTGAGTCATGGGGGTATGGTAAGATTATTTTAATATCTAGTGTAAGTGATTCAGTTTTCTTGATACAATATTTAAATTAAAATTTAGGGGCGAGACGGGAAGTTCTGCCAGTGCTGAACGAAAAGATTCTTTGAGACGAGCACGCAGACCTGATTTTAGTATAGTAGTTAATGTAAATGGTCTAAAAGTTGAAATTGCCTATCTTGAGACTGGCCGACCAGACTCTAAACCAAGCAAGCAAGCGCGTGATCATAAGAAGCTGCGCGAATCTCAAGAGATTCTATAGATATTACAAAGTCGGCCAAGGGAAAGAAAAGGTTTAAAAACTCGTCAATAAGGAATCTACTCACAATATTTACTATCAATGTTGCTGGTATGTATATACCGTATTGTCGCGAAATAACAGGCTGGGGCGTTATTTAGAAAATCGTACATCCTAAAAATAATATATATGATTTCAAAATAACCCCGGCGCGTCTCTAAATAACGTGTTTCCAAAAAGTGCTTCGGAAGTAAGTTTACTTAGTACCAAACTTACTTACAAAGCACTTTTTTGTTTACTTAAAAATTTTTTATTTTGTTTCAAATAACGCCCCGGCGCGTACTCTAAATAACGCACCGGGGTGCGTTATTCGCGACAATACGGTATACATTATTATTTAGATAATTTTCTTTCATTATCTTCGACTTACA